CGTGAAGAAGAGTGGATGAAGGACTTGAGAGAAACTATGAAGGCTAATCAGCAGCTGCTGACCCAGCTGATACAAGACAGACCAGCCACTTCAGAACGAGAGGCTTTCATCAAGTATGTTGGGGAGAGTCTGCGTTCTGCACCTGCTGACAAGTACAAGGCGATGAAGGCCAAGATAGCAGCCATGATTGACGAAGAAGATGAAGGCCAGGTCCCTGATCCTACAAGACCAGCTCAAGTGATGTCTGCATCGCCAGTCCTCCACCACGAGCCAGTTCCTGACGCACAAGCACTGACGGAACACTGACAGAACACGCACATATCACGCACCTTCCACGTCCAAACTACGTACAAACTGCGCATAAACTGCGTATAATCGCGCACGTTGTGTGTGGAAATTTTTTTGAGCCGTTCAAAACCGGCGATCGCGCACAAACCCGTCTCCGCGTACAATCACTTACAAAAACTGATGCTCCACGTGTGAAACACGTGGGATTTACGCACATCACTGACGAATCACACACAAAGAAAATTGTATGCGCAATTCATGAGTAATTCGTGCGCAAGTGCAGTGGGACTGGGCCTTAACATAAATTGTGTCAAGCGCTGAAAATTGCCCAGTTGTCAGAGCCTGATCAATTACCTCCGACATATTCAGGCGACATATTGTTGACTTTCTTTCGTAGATGAAGTCAAACGTTTTGCTCTTTCCATCTTTTAGCAAGCCTGCATTCCAGTTGGTGTAGAATGGTCGGATGTACGCAATATAATCTTGTTGAGCACTATCCCAGCAGTTGAGAACTTTCGTGTGAATGAATTCCTGCACAAGTGGGCTACTAAGATCTTGACCACTGTTGACAGCTTCAGTTTTCAATTCCTGACAACAGGCGTCAATACGCTGTTTCAGGCTTTCCGTGTACTCACTGAATTCACGACTGAAATACAGTCTATGAGTGTGTGGGTTGGCATTAGCTCCCCATTCAAACCGAGTGAAGTAACTATCTCCACTATATCGGAGCTGTGAGACAAACCTGGTATCGAGTTCAGCCATTAAGGCGCACATAAAGGATATGATACTGGGATACTGCAGAACATTTCTCCGTCGCCCTTCCAGAAACTCTTCATCGGTTTGCATTGAAAGCCTTGCTGCATCCGGACATATTCGGTGGATTTCCAAAATGGAGTAGTATCTGGAATTGATGATTTGAACATCATCAAGTTTGAAGCAGTCCAGTCACGCAGCTGAGCATTTTGCATCAAATCTTCCTTTACAGGAATTCCTCTTTGTTCAAATACATCGCTTCGAAGAGCAAGCTTGGATTTTCCCTTACTGTGCTGCCTCTTAATCATGCTTTGAATAAGAAACTGGAGCTCAATGTTCACCATTGCTCTTGGTTGTTGACACACCCATTTCAGATAATGGAACATGTAGTTTTCGGACGCATTTTTAGGTCACCTGAGCTTTAGCTCAAGTGACCTATTGCTATCCGTTTTCGTCCGTCGTCGTCCGTCGTCCGTCGTCCGTTAACATTTTATTTCAAACTTAAAGTCAAGTTCTGCTGGGCCGATTGAACTGAAAGTTGGTAGGAATGATCGCCTCATGGTCCTGACAAAGTGTTGTTATTTTTCGGGTCGATCAGAAATCCAATATGGCCGCCACGGCCGCCATTTTGAAAACCTATTTCAAACTTAAAGTCAAGTTCTGCTGGACCGATTGAACTGAAAGTTGGTAGGAATGATCGCCTCATGGTCCTGACAAAGTGTTGTTATTTTTCGGGTCGATCAGAAATCCAATATGGCCGCCACGGCCGCCATTTTGAAAACCTATTTCAAACTTAAAGTCAAGTTCTGCTGGACCGATTGAACTGAAAGTTGGTAGGAATGATCGCCTCATGGTCCTGACAAAGTGTTGTTATTTTTCGGGTCAATCAGAAATACAATTTGGCTGCCATGGCCGCTATTTTGCTACTAAGTTCTAATAGGCCGATCTCACTTAAAATTGGTCTAGGAATGATCAGCTCATGGTCCTGACAAAGTTAAGTTAACATTATACTATTTTTTACTCAAATTGGTACATATTTCAACAACAAAAATAAATACTGTAGACTCAGGTGACCGTTTAGGCCCATGGGCCTCTTGTTTATGCTGCGAGGACGTTCTTGGTGTGGACAGCCATCACCAGTTAGAAACACATCAGGAAAAGCCATTTGGAGGTATCCCTCAGTGTTCTCAGCAACAGGATGTAGCCGGTCAATTTCAGGAGCAGGAATCCTTTCTAGGACTGTGCTTTGCATTCCTCTCCTTAGAATTTCGTCTGGGTTCTCCATTTGTACGTTAATAATTCCACCTTGTGCTACACTACTGGTATTGCCTTCATCATTGCTACTCTCAGCAAAGATAGGTTAAATTGTTCAACCTATCCTCAGGTAACAGGATGTCAGAGGTATTTTGCTGAAAAGTACTGGAAACATCAGTAGTAGGATCGAGCCATCCTTTCTCAACAGCATACGTCATGACATCCGTGGGAGTTATTTGAACTGGTTCAGGTGAGAGATCGTTGTCAGGTGCGTCGTTATAAGATTTTCTCACAAATTGAGTGAGCACATCCCATAACTGTTTCGTGACGGCTTCGTGGTTCATACCAGTTGGCTGGGAGAAGCTACTTTCAATGATGAAAGCATCTTTAATGCCACTCCCGACAGTAAATCCTGAATTTAGCCATTCAGTGAAAAGATGAGGATTCAACCGTTTTGTTGCACGCTCATGAATCAGATCAACGTCGATTGTTCTCAATCCATTTGGAAGAACAGCTGCATTTGTATCTGATAACTGACTGGCCAAAGTTTCCATGGCAGCTATCGTAAATGGAGTATGGACTTTGTCACAGTAACGATAGAATGGCCTTTTGGTGCCGTAAACAGGACAGGTCACCTCACGTTCCATGAGTTCTTTAGCTTGCACAATCTTTGCCATGTTCACTCTAGCTTCAACCACACTGCCATCTGTATGATTAGACACCATTACAACAAATGGCAACTGCTCAAATGTGTGCCATGGAAGAAATTGATCCGTGCCTAGAGAACGGAACATTATTTGTCCTGGAACGCAAGATGACAATAACAGCATGTATTGGAGACAGCACAAGTTTTTCAGCTTGCGACAACGTATCCATGAACATTGCATACTGATGTGAGGCAGCATCCTGAAAGACATCAAGTGCCATTAGATTGTCCACGCTGTATGGGTTGATATTTGAAATGTTGTCGTGGATTGGCTGCTGGCTGCTATTGGTATCTTGAGAAGCTGCCTCCTGCGAATTGGAAACCGCTTTGTGCAGCAAAGTGACAACACCGTCATCATCAATGTCAAAGAATTTGGAACAGTCTGTGCATATGCCAGTGACTGTCTCATCTTTATAAACTCTAGCTGTTGCAAAGCGTGAAGCTAGTGTCACACTGCAGTTAGACAGTATCTGCGACTGTTTTAAAGTCTGGAGAAGAAGTGGATTATTTAGTGCGACAGCTTTTCCAGCTTCAGGGACTGTGACACAGTCGTTAGTCTCTGCCTCAAATCCAGGTGAACACATTCCACATTGAGAGCAATGGATCATCTTCATTGCACCATATACTGCATGGAGATCACGAATGCCTGACAGATTTGTAACTGTGAAGTGGGCAGATGGATCCTCAGATGAAAGTTGACTATGATCAAGCCATGACTGACATAGAAGTGCTTCACGTGGTGTGTTTCTGCTGAGTTTTCCCATGGATAATACAGGAATTTCTGTGCAACGCTGAAACCAACCAGTAGTCTGCCGGTGACCAAGCGCCACATGTCCCATAGGCATTAACTTTGTGCAGATTGCCTTGTAGTTGCATCCACTCAGTTCGTGTTTGGTGGGTGCATACTTTGTTATGACTTCGGCATCATTAACACCTTCAGTTACAGAACAAAGTGTTTTGATGACGAATGCTACAGGAGACAGTTTCGAGTGGCGTGCAATGCTGTACGCTATCCAAAGAGGAGGACATTCATCAAGGCACAAAGTGTCACAATGTCGTCTTCCTCTTCACATGACGTAGCGTGCAGCAGGTTGCAGAAAAAATCCACCTCGCGGTGAACTCTGCCATATGTGTACGACCCCAGGATGAACTTTTCAGCTGCTCGCTTTCCTATCCAACGAATCTTCTTGCAAAGATGACACTTTCGAAGATAGAAGTTGTCTAACTTTGTTTTGTTGGATTCCTCTTGTTGGACAGCTGGAGTGTGTTGGACAGGAAACTCTGGGTCTGCATTTAAAGCTGACCTGGCCTTAGAAGACGCAGAAGTGAATTTTACATCGTAGTCAACTCTGCTGCGATGAATGCGGTCTTCATTACATTGAGGCCCAGCATATTCCTTCAGCTTGTTTAGATGTCTGGCATGCTTAGTTCCTGGTTAACTTCTGACAAGATGTCCTCATAATCGGTGGCATCAATAAGTGACGTTGCAGAGTTAACCAAATACTCAGCTTTTACATTTTCGCCATATTTCTGCGCAACAAGTTGTAAGAATGTAGTTTTCCTGTAATATTTAATGGTCCCCATTCCATAATAATGAAGACGTTGCATGTTGGTAGAATCAGAAAATGATTGTGGACCCTGATTTGGTTCCAAACCCTCTTCTTTCGGACGCTCAGGCTTCCTTGTGTTATGTTGACTCACATTATTGAGAAGGAAAAGAAATCCTCTTTCATCACTAAGCGCGGAGGTCATTGGTACATTTTTTAGCTTCACGCCATGCTCTTAAAGCGAATCCATGAATACCAGCGAAATGTAGGGGACGACGTTCCAGTAGATGGCATTCCTCTCTCCAACAGATTATCAAGTCTCATTGAATAGGTCACAACCGAACTAGCAATGGTAAATTTGGCAATGCACTTCTTTCCATTGTAGTAGTGCCAAGGGCCAGTTATGCAATCTTGATCCAATAAGTCAGTGGACACTGACAACACATTGATTGGTCCCAATTCTAGCAAATGCTCTATTGTGAGCGTCTTCTTCTGCCTTTTATTGTTGTTGGTGTCATCTGTAGGCTGGTCTGTCGGAGAAGAAACCTGAAAAAAAATTAAATGCTGAAAACAAGAGATCCCAGAGGAATCTTGGCACCCACCTTGGTAATGTTCAAGGAAAGTTACTACTGTATGAAAGAGCTTTTACGTTATTAAGCCCTAACACAAAACAAGAATTCCACGGAAGTGGATGTGTCGCCTGCAAGGCCAACCTCTGGGCAATAAGTTAGGCCTAAAAAAAAATACCCTATTTTTTTCTGGCATGTTAGCGGAAACACAGGTATTATTTTTTAGGCCTTATAGTGTGAAAAATATACATAAGTATAGAAAATTTGGTGAACGTAGGTGAAATAGCAAAAAAGTTATGCTCCGGACAAACTTCGACGGACGGACGGAGTGCAAACCTATAGTCCCCTCCGGTAGTACCCACCTAAGGCTGTCACGTTTACAAACAAGAGGCCCAGGGGCCTTAATAGCTCACCTGTTATTTTATTTTTCAATTTAAAACCTGCTGAGTACCATACAGGTTTATCAAAGGAGTACAAGGAACAAAGTTGCAAGAAGAACTACATATAAATCTGTTTTGGTGGGAAAGACACCAAGAAAATGAGTTTCCATGTTATGTCCCAATTTTCCTCTATTTTCCCTATTTGGCCTCACATGCACCTTTTTATACAAATTAAACAAATTGAGTTTTTTTCCCCTAAGCATGCTTCAGACTACATTTGGTTTAAATCCCATCATTTGTATAGTAGGAGAAAAAAAATCCTCTATTTCCCCTATTGGGCCCGCCCCTATGCCCCCAGAGGGGCCACACCCTCCGTTTATACAAACTTGAGGCTCCTTTGTCCAAAGATGCTCTAGGACAAATTTGGTAAAAATCCTTCTATTGGTTGAGAAGAAGATTTTTAAAGATTTACCTATTTGGCCCCGCCCCTCTGCCCCCAGGGGGGCCATACCCTCCATTTATACAAAACGGAGAACCCTTTGGTAAATGATGCTCCAGACCAAATTTGGTCAAAATCCCTTCATTGGTACAAAAGGAGAAGGATCTTTAATGTTTTCCTCTATTTCCCCTAATGGGTCCCACCCATCTGCCCCTAGAAGGGGGCCCACACACCTCAGTTTATACAAAATTGATTCTTTTGTCCCTAATCATGCTTCAGACTGCATTTAGTTTAAATCCCTTCACTTGTATAGTAGGAGAACAAAATTCCTCTATTTCCCCTATCTGGCCCCGCCCCTCAGCCCCCAGAGGGGCCACACCCTCCGTTTATACAAACTTGAGCCTCCTTTGTCCAAAGATGCTCTAGGACAAATTTGGTCAAAATCCTTCTATTGGTTGAGAAGAAGATTTTGAAAGATTTACCTATTTTCCCCCTATTTGGCCCCGCCCCTCTGCCCCCAGGGGGACCATACCCTCCGTTTATACAAAACTGAGAACCCTTTGGCCAATGATGCTCCAGACCAAATTTGGTCAAAATCCTCTGAGCCGTTCAGGACTAGTAGCGTTTTAAAGGAAAAAGTTGACGGACACCGGACACCGGACGACAGACGCTGCGCCATGGGATAAGCTCACTTGGCCCAAGGGCCAGGTGAGCTAAAAACTGTAAACGTTTACACGGAGACCATTTAACGAAACGGTACCGTTTACAGGTGAAGTTTTTGCATTGTACAACTACGTCTTACACAACCCCTTAAAGTGCAAAAACATATATGCATTTATTTAGCTAATGAAAGGCATATTACATAGTTGTGTAACAATAAAGAGATGATCGATGCTGATAAAAAAAGTTTACCTGAATTGGTTCGATCATAGCGTGAACAGATTGCAATTCCCAGCCAGGCTACGAGCACCAACTGTGAGTTACCCGACATCACCTGGACATTTCCAACATTCTGTACTGTATCTCCATCGATCCAGAAATGTTTTCTTGGAAGTTGAAATATCACATACTTATTTCCGTGATTGGAATTAATACCCTGCCGTTCTTGTAAGTTGGGAAACGCAGCAAAGACGAAAACAAAAGTAATTCACAATTTGTGACTGGCGCATGCGTACTGTACACATGCGTACAGTTCCGGGAAATACCTGGGATCATCTCAAAAGGTATTATATACTCGCGCTATACCACCGCATCAGAAACAAAAATAGTATATTGAATGAAATAACATCTGCTCTTTTATTTTCCAAGAAACATATATTTATGAATTAATTTTCATGTACACGATTGCTATTTTTGTAAACGTTACAGGCTCTACACGAAACGGTTTCGTGTACACATGTAAACGTGACAGCCTTACCCGTGGGGGACTTATAATAGCAACAATGACCTTGACCTTATATTTGTACCCTAAAAATCTAACTTATCCAAGATATTTGCATACTTGACCCCTGTATAAAGTTTGATCAAAATCTGTTAAACAAGAGGCCCAGAGGGCCTGTATCGCTCACCTGAATATCTAAGCAAGCATAGCAAAATATTCTCCAAATGAGATCTAAGGGAATATGCCAGACCCCAATGCCAATTCTTGTAGTATGTCTGTATTAGATTTTTCATGTCCAGCAATTAAATGCATGGCTAAGGGGTGGGGATCTCAACTGTTTCCAAGCTGTGACTCAGAAACTAGGTCCCTATTGTTGTGGCCAGACCCCAGGATCAATTCTAATATCATGACTGCACTTGTCTCTTTTTACCCAGCATTTGTATATATAGTTTTTGGGGGTGGATCTCAACCGTTTCAAAGTTATGACACAGGGGTTAAGTCTCCAAGGGTGGGGCCATACCCTAGGGTCAATTATAATATCATGACTGCGTTCGTCTCTTTATGCCCAGCATTTGTATATATATCGTTTTGGGGTGGGGATCTCAACCGTTTCAAAGTTATGACACAGGGGTTAAGTCTCCAAGGGTGGGGCCATACCCTAGGGTCAATTATAATATCATGACTGCGTTCGTCTCTTTATGCCCAACAATTGTATATATAGTTTTTGGGTGGGGATCTTAACCATTTAAAAGTTATGACCCAGGGGTTAAGTTTCCAAGGTTGGGGCAGTCCCCAAGGCCATCCTGGAAGCATATGTGCATTCATCTCTTTATACTCAGCAATTGTATATATGGTTATAGGGTGGGGTTCTCAACTGTTTCCAAGCTGTGACTAAGAAACTAGGTCCCTAGGTGTTCGGTCAGACCCCAGGGTCTATTCTAATATCATGACTGCATTCATCTCTTTATGCCCAACATTTGTATATATATATATATATATATAGTTTTGGGTGGGGATCTCAACCGTTTTAAAGTTATGGCCCATGGACTTTGTCTCCAAGGGTTGGGCCAGACCCTAGGGTCAATTCTAATATAATAACTGCATTCGTCTCTTTATGCCCAACAATTGTATATATAGTTTTTGGGTGGGGATCTTGACCATTTCGAAGTTATGACCCAGGGGTTAAGTCTCCAAGGGTGGGGCAGTCCCCAAGGCCATCCTGGAAGCATATGTGCATTCATCTCTTTATACTCAGCAATTGTATATATGGTTATAGGGTGGGGTTCTCAACTGTTTCCAAGCTGTGACTAAGAAACTAGGTCCCTAGGGGTTCGGTCAGACCCCAGGGTCTATTATAATGTCATGACTGCATTCATCTCTTTATGCCCAGCATTTGTATATATATATATATAGTTCTGGGGTGGGGATCTCAACCATTTCCAAGAAATAAATTTTGTTGGCCCCAACCCTTAGCCCGGGCGGTCAGCCCCACCATTTGTACAATTTTGAATCCCTGCCTCCCATGAATGCTTCCGACCAAATATGATCGATATCCATGACATAGTTCTACAGAAGAAATCGTTTATAGCAATAAAGCCAAATTGCCCCCTTTTGGCCCCGCCCTCAGCCCCACCATTTGTACAATTTTTAATCCCCACCACCTTGGGATGCTTCCAGTCAAATATGGTTGATATCCAGTGCATAGTTCTACAGAAGAAGACATTTGTAGCAATATAGCCATATTGCCCCCTTTTGGCCCCGCCCTCAGCCCAACCATTTGTACAATTTTGAATCACCACTACCGAGGGATGCTTCAAGTCAAATATGGTTGATATCCATCCGTTAGTGCCAGAGAAGAAGTCGCTTAAATCAATATAGCCCAATTGCCCCCTTTTGGCCCCGCCCCTCAGGTACCTGGGGGGGGGGGGGGGGGGGGGCAGACCCATGGTTTATACAAAATTGGTTCCCCTTTACCCAAGGATGCTTGAGACCAAATATGGAACAAATCCTTTCATTCCTACAGAAGTAGAAGGATTTTAAAGAATTTATATATTTCCCCTACTGGGCCCCGCCGCTCAGGCCCCTATGGCACCAGACCCCCGGTTTATACAAAATTGGTCCCCCTTTACCCAAGGATACTTCAGACCAAATATGGAACAAATCCTTTCATTCCTCCTTAAGAAGAAGAATTTTTAAAAATTTGCTATATTTCTCCTATTGGGCCCTGCCCCTCAGGGGCCAGACCCCCGGTTTATACAAAATTGGTTCCCCGTTACCCAAGGATGCTTCAGACTAAACATGAAACAAATCCTTACATTCCTACAGAAGTAGAGGGATTTTAAAGAATTTACTATGTGTTCCCTATTTGGCCCCACCCCTCAGGCCCCTTGAGGTATATATAACATACCAAATTGTAAACAAGAGCCTCTGCCCTCAGCTCAAATTCAGCAAATGCGAGTAGATTTTTTAGAACTGCAAGCCAACTAATTGTCTTGTTGGTCATGACTATAAATGAGAGAGCTTTATGGAAACTTTTGTTCCCCAGTGGGGAAAGAAGTGTCCTAACACTGTAACTGTCTTGGAGAAAAGATTTTGTTCTCCAGTGGGGGGAGGAAGGTCTTGGATAGGAGGGGCGAGTATTGGGGTTGTCTCCCTCTGTTCGGGGAGAGTTTGCAGGCCTGGACAAAGAAAATACAATATATATTTAAGATATATATATATACATGTGTTACAGGGGTGTACAATTCCACTAGCCCGACTCCCGGGGCTAGTGGATTAGATGTCGAGCTAGTGAACATTTTCTAAATTTACTATAAAGATATAGGCCGGGCTAGTAGAATTTTTTATTATTTGCCTGCGGACAAGTATTTAAAATATCAAAATGTACATCCCTGTATAACAGTGCAAGAAATTGGAGTTTATTCTATCATAGCCACATTGTCAATTTTCTATGTTTTTACTATAAAAAACATGTGGAAATGTTGAATTTTATCATAGCCGAACAACATTTATCATAAGCCTGGGGCTATATCGGTCTACCACTAATTTCGCACACTGATATAATACAAAAGACTTTGTCAAAGTTATATTTAAGGTACATAAATGTATTCATAAATACCATATTTGGCAGCTCAGTAGACGTTTCACGCCTGTCATCTGCTAGTCTCGCTTTATGCCCGTCGTCTGCTAGTCTCGCTTCATCATTATGTCTGTCATCTGGCTCTGCTAGTCTTATTTTTTTCCTAGGTGGAAATGTTTTGGTTTTTTTTGGTCTTCCATGTCGTCTTGCACCGCTCTCCATTTCTTAATGGGCAATCAGAAATATTCATGAGATAATGATGGAAATTAATAATGAGAGCTCTAGAGCATATTGATTCATTGAACATATAAAAACACTCAAAACAAGTGCTGGTTGTAATAGGGACCATTAAAAATGTCCCCCAATTGCAAATACCCCCGCCAAAAACAAACCGGGAAAAAAAAATTATAAATAAAAAAATAAAATTTTGAAATAAAAACAGAGACCCGCATGAACACCGCCACATGTTCCCAAACATTAATGCCAAATTTGAGCTTAATCAGACAATACAAAAAAATGTATATCTAAATTTTGATTTAAAAATCTATTTACCTGGTATAGTTAAGAGTGTAACGATACATCGAACTATCGATACATTTCAATTGTACACTGCTAAATTCAATTAATCGATGACAAATTCCAAATTTCGATAACTATTGCCGATAGTATGTCAAGCTATCGATAGTTTCAATAGTTGTTTTAATGCCAATAATGGTGCATCTACACAATAACTTACAGACAATTTCGTTGTTACTCCATAATTACGAGCTGATAATTCAGTCGTTCTCACTAAATACACACTTAGTTGCAGTCGCAAGAAGGGCGGAGTGTGGTATAGGTAAGATACATAGGCAAAACCACACATATGTGTTGATCTGACTATTCGGATCGCATGAGTTTGTGGTGGCGGAGGAATATATGCATAGGCATGTGATAAAACCAAATATAGCTGATTGGTTAACTTTTTGACACGGAAAGAGGAGCTACAATATTTTTGTGAGGTAACGTCTGATTTAGTGCTAGGACGGGTAACCGGATAGCCGGTGTACGGGTAGATTTACACCTCCAGATGGTGCTATCCGGTTAGCATTTGAATTATCCGCTATCCGTCATCCGCTTCTTCTGTTAATCTGCATCGGGAAATCCATACTACCTCTCCGTATACACGCCTAATATCGTCATTATATCGATGACTATAAGCGTACAAAGGCACTTCAAAGTACTTACTGGTTTCTAACTTATGTACATTTTATCAATAAAGAGCATATTATGTATTACGTCAACAATGTACATGTATCTTTTCATAATCTGACCAGTTTTGCCTCGATCGAAAACTAGGCCATCATATGCATGCAAGCGCTTGTATTACACCTTGGTTATTAGTCTATCTGTCAAAGCATATGAGTGAGCAAGATTTACCCGAACTCGAACATGCGCCAGTAGGATGCGCATAGGACTACGCAAAGGATGATTACACTAATAGTGTTGGGTATTGCGAATATTAGAGTATCGCGATACGGCAACAGAGTATCGCGATATATTGTTTTCTAAATTTGAATTATAATAACGTTGAAGAGATAATGTTCAACTGTTACATGTACGTTTATGTAAGTACTACAATGTACGTGTTAAGTTGTTGATACACTGTCTAAATAATAAACATTAAACAATACAGCAAATGGGTTTTCTTTCATTCCACACTTCAGTGTGCGAAATTAACCATGGACCTACGGCCCGAGTCTATGTCTATATACCTACCAAAACAACATTTTTTAGGAAATAACACTTTAAATGTTTATTAAAATTCGTTTGATATGTTTATACTGTAAATGAAAAAAAAAATGCAGTAACAGCACCTTTGTTTCGAGTATTCCTTTTCCAAAAAAATTGACAATTTCTGATAATGACTAATTTACAGTCATCGTTGTAATTGACCCTATAATCTTTGTAATGCTCATTATCATTAGGCCTATACACCGATATATAACGATGTATGTTGATAGTATTTCATCATCTCATTCATACCATTACATGGTGAGAATCGGAAGTGATTTCTGTAATGCTAGTCGCGCGTGTAGTGATGTCTCTTCAAGCTGGGGATTACCGTTGCTATTTTTAGACGTAAACAAATTATCACAGATAAGAGATTACCACAAACACTGAACAGATTTTAAACGCTGGGTCATATCTTACATGCATAATTGTGATCATAGCCATAACCTAGAACATCGCTTTTGATATCGTAAAATGGTAGAAATTAGTGGCACTAGTAAAAATTCAATCCAACTCACCGCTACAAGTTTCTTCGTTTTTAACGCATGCGCAACAAGCTCTTATCTCAATTCTAGCCTAGAGGGGGTACCCAAATTGGCGCTTGACTACGGGGAAATAGGATCTTCTGGAACATTCCACGAAACCCCAGAAATACACCCCATTTTCAAAACCCTCTCGGGGCCGTTTTTTGAAAGATATCGAAAAACCAAATATACCGTTTTCTTCAGAATAACTAGGACTACGTATGTTTGGAGTTTCGTTTCGTCAGCTTTAAGCGTAAAATCTCCAGGGTGAATTATACAGAAACTAGTAGTCAAAATGCCGATTTTGGTGTGTTTGACCCCAAATATCTCCATAACAAATTATCACAGATAAGAGATTATCACAAACACTGAACAGGCTTCACACACCGAAATCTTAATTTAATTAAACGTAGAAACAAAAAATAACGAAAGTAAATATTGAAGAAACGAGAACTGTTCCGCGTCTGTTGCGCAACGTCAACAAACATGTAAGGCTACAGTACGGGATTTTGCTAGAAATTTTAAACGCTGGGTCATATCTTACATGCATAATTGTGATCATAGCCATAACCTAGAACATCGCTTTTGATATCGTAAAATGGTAGAAATTAGTGGCACTAGTAAAAATTCAATCCAACTCACCGCTACAAGTTTCTTCGTTTTTAACGCATGCGCAACAAGCTCTTATCTCAATTCTAGCCTAGAGGGGGTACCCAAATTGGCGCTTGACTACGGGGAAATAGGATCTTCTGGAACATTCTGGAACATTCTAGAACATTCCACGAAACCCCAGAAATAAAATACACCCCATTTTCAAAACCCTCTCAGGGCCGTTTTTTGAAAGATATCGAAAAACCAAATATACCGTTTTCTTCAGAATAACTAGGACTACGTATGTTTGGAGTTTCGTTTCGTCAGCTTTAAGCGTAAAATCTCCAGGGTGAATAATACAGAAACTAGTAGTCAAAATGCCGATTTTGGTGTGTTTGAACCCAAATATCTCCATAACTAGATTTTTCCCAGATATAACAGATACACAAGGAGGTAGATCGCACTGAGTTCTACAACTCTGCCAAGTTTCATCACGATCTGCCGGCCAGTTTTCTTCGTCCTCAAGATCTCCCCCATACGCCGCATAATAGCGGAAGTTGACCGTGTAAACATTACAAAACAAATAAAAAATTAAAATTTTTCATTTCTTTCTTCATTTTCTACTGTCCAGATATAGGAAATAAGACCGTGCGGATAATTCCTTATTACATGATGCCTGTGTGGTGTGCATGTTTATACGTTGGATTTTGGTCGTTATCACAACGCTGATACAACGTCGTAATTCCGACGTTGTTCCAACGTCGGAGTCTGACGTCTAACAAACTTTCATTTCCAACCAATATACAACGTCTATCCAACGTCAGTTTCTGACGTTGTTACAACGTCTATTCAACGTCAATTGTTTGCTGGGATGTGACCTTGAATATGGGTGAAGGTCATTTATTTGAACAAACTTTGTAGCCCTTTATCTCAGCATGCTACTGGCCAAATATCATTACATTGGGCATTTTGGTTATTGAGAAGAAATTGTTTAAAGTTTTTAAAATATTTGACCACTGTGACCTTGAATATGGGAGAAGGTCATTCATTTGTACAAACTTGGTAGCCCTTCATCTCAGCATGCTACTGGCCAAATATCATCACCCTGGGCATTTTGGTTATTGAGAAGAAGTTTAAAGTTTTTAACATAATTTACCCCTGTGACCTTGAATATGGGAGAAGGTCATTCATTTGAACAAACTTTGTAGCCCTTCATCTCAGCATGCTACTGGCCAAATATCATCACCCTGGGCAGTTTGGTTATTCAGAAGAAGTTGTTTAAAGGTTTTTTAAGACAATTGACCCCTGTGACCTTGAACATAATTAAAGGTCATTCATTTGACTAAACTTGGTAGCCCTTCACCCAAGCATGCTACTGGCCAAATATCATATCCCTGGGCAGTTTGGTTATCGAGCAGAAGATGTTTAAAGTTTTTAAAATATTTGACCCCTGTGACCATGAAAATGGGTGAAGGTCATTAATTTGAACAAACTTTGTAGCCCTTCATCCCAGTTTGCTTCTGACCAAATATCGACACCCTAGGCCTTTCGGTTATTAAGAAGAAGTCGTTTAAAGTAAAATATTGACGACGGACGGACGGACGCCGCACCACGGCATAAGCTCACTTGGCACTTCGTGCCAGGTGAGCTAATAAGGTGTGTTGCCGGTTGGTGTGTGGCCAATATCAGGAAAAGAAGGAAATCTGCCATCATGCAAAATATGTACAACAAATCCAAGACAACACATGTACAGCAGATGTTCCAGGACAAAGATCTCATAGATTTCATGGAACTGAAAGGAGATTGCATTGATGACACCATGTCCTTCATCAACGACAACAACATCAGAAAAGGACGGTTTGTTCTTTCAGATGATGCTTTCAAGTTCTTCCTAGAGTTAGACAATCAAATCTGGAATTTTTAGGACCAACATTTTCTGACCTTTTGACCACCAACATTTTGTCTGACAGACAACTTGAGGAACGGTTCATAAACATTTTCACAAGTTATACATGTGGCGATATAGTGGTTGGTAAAGAAATGTATACAAGGAAATAGTGAACAAATAATGTCTCGTGAGCATTTCTCAACTTCGTCGGGAGTATCTAAAAACACTCAATATGAAGAAAAAGGAAGCAACAAAAAACAAGTGAAAATGAGAACAGATACTACCAAGTCACTCAAATTCACATTTCAGAGTATTGAGAAAGATACACACAGTTGAGATAGTTTAGGAACCATTAACTCTAGACTGACCACGTTCTGTTAAAAATAGGGAGCTCTACGTCATGAGTTTGTTTGTTTGTTTGTTTGATTCTGTTTAACGTCCTATTAACAGCTAAGGTCATTTAAGGACGACCTCCCCTGTGTGCAAGATGCATGCGTGTAGTGTATGTGTGTGTATTTTGGGAGGCTGCGATATGTTCGTGTTTGTTTTCTTGTAATCGCGCGGCACTGATGCCCACTTTATAGTGCTACCTCACTGAAACATACTGCCGAAGACACCCAGCAGGACGCCCCACCCGGTCACATTATACTGACAACGGGCGAACCAGTCGTCCCACTCCTAATTTGCTGAGCGTTAAGCAGGAGTAGAAACTGCCATTTTTATAGACTTTGGTATGTCTCGGCCAGGGGAAAGAACCCAAAGCCTTCCTCACAGGGGCGAACGCTCAACAAATGGCCAAAAGTGAGGCATTGTCAAGGGAGACATTAGGAAAAAGAAAGTTATTTAGAAAGGAGAGAAGAGATAAGGTCCCAAATTTAGTCGCCTCTTACGATCATGCAATTGGGGGCAGCAGGATGAGTAGGGGGACAGAGTAGCCACTCGCTAGTGCAGCAACTCCCTCCTTTCATAAAACATAGGTGCGAGGCTCCCTAGGGCTTGTGGAGACAATGAGTTCCACACGATATATATTGGATTATACACATCATGAGTGTTTCCCCAGACCACTAAGCAGATATGTATGAAAGGGGAGCTGCGTGTCTTCATGAGCAACAACAACAGGCCTATTTTAATATGATATGTGATTTCAACGATGTTGGCTCAAAGTCTGAGGATGATATTGACAGGACTAATTTAGTCGAACACACTATTAATACTGGTGCTAAACCGCCTATTAGAAAACGTCATAGACGTATACCTGTATAAAAACAGATTGATGCGGAAACTGAAATTAAACGAAGATGACTCAAGCAGGACTATCAGGCAGTTGGATTACCCAGTACCTCTGGCCACTGAAAGCCATGTCATCGAGACACATAGTGTATTTATGTGGGAGTGCGGAGTGTGCAACCAAATGGTGTACAGTTCTGTGAAACACCCGGGGTGCTTGGGATCAGAAGATTCAATAACTTGTGTGAGCTTGGGAAAGGCAATCAGGGGCATTGTTGCCCAAACTAGTTTTCAAGAATACAGAACAAGGGAGCTACAAGCCTTCATAACAGTGGAAAGGAACCCCCTACACATTTCCAAGAAGCCTCCAACCCCTTGCAAGAGGAGGACGCGATTTCGAGTGATGAAACGGCTTGTTGAGATAAGGAATTTTACACGATATAGATTGGATTATAAACATCATTACCTTGCTAAACGAAGATGACTCGAGCATGACTAGCAGGCAGTTGGGTTAATACATAATATTTCTTACCATTTGTTTAGATAAGTGCTTATAACTGTTATATTACCTTATAGAAGTGTTTTATAATTTTGGGGGATTTCCCTTACTTCAAGATGTATATCTTACTTCACTCTCTTTTTATCTTGGGTCTTAACTGTGTATAGTTACTAATTTTCCAACTTTATTAATTAATTAAATTATTTGTTTATACCTTATTAACTCCTGGAGTGATTTTTAGTGTCAGTGGTCACAGTAGTGACGGCAGCGATT